TTACAGGTGTGAGCCACTGTACCTGGCCTGTGTTTTGAAAATAGATAGATGATCTCTGTTTAAAAAGTCTGATTTTGGCTGCAACTGTGTATATAAAAGACCTCTCAGCAATCTTGTGCCTTGGTTCCCCTGAAACAGATACCTCACCTATATTTGGTTGTTGGTTATCTGGAGACAAATAGTATGCTGTGTGACTGAAAAAGATCCCTGGAATCTGTGCCTGTATGTCTCAGAACACCGTCATATTTACCTGTATTTTATTTCATTGGATTTTATTTTTCATGCTATACTGTAACCTTTGCCTTTCTTGGAGTCTTATGTAAATATAACTTGTGGAGTCATGTGAGACTGTTCAACATCTTACCCTGAGTAACTGCTATAATTGCAGTCACCTATTTTAAGGAAAAACATCGTGCTTGAAAAGGAAACATTTTTGTAAAATTAAAATCAAGTTCAATGTATTTTAGAATTTATTCTCAATTTAAGAAAACAGTTTAGGAGACTTTCCTGCTACATTCTAGAGAGGGATTAACAAAAACATGTCTTACATTTGGCTTATGATGTTTCAAAGGGAAACACATCTTGCACACCTTGTGGCTATGAAGGAAAGAGAAGCTTATTTTATTTGACTATAGGATCAAGCCACATTATCCATTCATGCAATAGAACCAGGACTGCAACAATTATTTAATTTCCATCTCTCTGATATCAGGGACTATTTCTCAAACTATTTAGAATTCAGAAGGGGCATGAAACCTGGAAGACTCATTTTCCTCAATCCCCAAATATTTCGTTGGTTTACAAGAAACAAAACCCTGTATAAAGATGATGGCTTCTACTATATTTCATCCAATCTGAGATACCTTTGGTTGTACGGCACACCACAATTTTATACACCAAGTTCTCCATTTAAATATGTTAAGCCATCAATTGTATGCCACATTATTTTAGCAGTGGTAGTATGTTGGGAAAATGTCTACCTTAGAATTCATGAGACAAAGTTTTACCCAAGAGCAGCACATCTTCCAGACCCATTTACAAATACTAGCAAACACTAGGGGCATAAAGATATATAGTATTGTAATGAGTTTTTTTTTTTTTTTTTTTTTTGAGACGGAGTCTCGCTCTGTCGCCCAGGCTGGAGTGCAGTGGCCGGATCTCAGCTCACTGCAAGCTCCGCCTCCCGGGTTCACGCCATTCTCCTGCCTCAGCCTCCCGAGTAGCTGGGACTACAGGCGTCCGCCACATTGCCCGGCTAGTTTTTTGTATTTTTTAGTAGAGACGGGGTTTCACCGTGTTAGCCAGGATGGTCTCGATCTCCTGACCTCGTGATCCGCCCGTCTCGGCCTCCCAAAGTGCTGGGATTACAGGCTTGAGCCACCGCGCCCGGCCTGTAATGAGTTTTTTACTAAAACAATGAACCACTGCAGTTCTGTGGGGACCCGAAAGCCTGAGGGTCATGACTGGCTCAGCATTCCACTGGAGGCTTTATGATCAAACAGCAAACTGTTTACCATGAATGCAGAATGTGAGCAAACTCATATCTGCACCTGCCGCCAGAAGGTATGCTGAGGGCAATCACTCCCTGGTGCTGTGCTCCTTGAGATTATCTATTGGGACATCTGGAGCCTACTGTTGCAGTCATGCAGGCCTGTACTAAATCAAGCAGCTGACGGACAACCACCCCCTCCTCATTTTCTTTACTCAGTAAAGAGGAAGTGCTGTAGATGCTCAGAGCCCTTGTTCACTAGAAGCAAGGAGCCCCTGATCCCTTCTCCCAAACATATTCTTTTGTGTTTATCTTTATTCCCGCATTCATCCTCCTTTGTTCAGTCCAGTAGGGTCTATGGCACAGTTCAATTATAATTTACATAGCATTATACAAAGATTCAATGCAGATATTCTATGGGAAGGCTTTATGCACATTTAAGCATACATACTACAAATTCACAATTGTGATGCTAACACATGCAGTTCCCAAATATGAACAATCATTTTTTATAATAAAAATAGGTACAAAACACTTAAATATTTGGTATTGTTCTGATTTTTTTGCTTTGTTTTCTGACAAGCATATTTATTTACATATTTAATACTTTCTATAATGCTGATTATATGAGAGCAGAAAAAAAATTATGAAAAAGCACGATTTCCCAGATTCATTAACATACAAATTTATTTTTTCTTTTATTTTCTTTCTTTGAGACAGGCTATCACCCAGGCTGGTGAAATCTTGGTTCACTGAAACCTCCACCTCTTGGCTCAAGTAATTCTCCTGCCTCAGCCTCCTTAGTAGCTGGGACTACACATGTGCACCACCATGTCCAGAAAATTTTTGTATTTTTTGTAGAGACAGGGTTTCACCATGTTGAAAACACTGGTCTTGAACTCCTGAGCTCAAATGATCCTTCCACTTTGGCCTTCCAAAGTGCTGAGATTACAAGTGTGAGTCACTGCACCTCACCTAAAGTACAGAAATTCTCCCTTAGTGTCAATTATCTGAAACTGATGTAACTGCATTTTATGCCAACAACATCCCCACAATCAATAATACATAGATGTTCCTTCCTGTTTGTTCCCACTGGCTTATATTCAATTGACATTTATTGGAAAAGGTATTACTTCCTGACTGGCATCATGCCCAGCACTATTCTCTGATAAGAAATGATGTGTAAGCTTGAAATTAAAGTTTGTTCACGTTTTCTGCAGCCTCGAGGTTTCACTCCTATATTAACCTTGTGGTATAATGAGCTAGCTCTTCTCACTGCAAACTTTCAGATATTCACTTCATTTATTATTTCTCTCCTTTGTGTGTTTTCTGATGTAGAATGAGGCTGAATTTGCGGGAGAAGGTTTTCCAACACTCAGTGCATTCATAAGATTTCTCACCTATATGCGTTCTTTGATGTATAATAAGATGTGACTTCTGGGCAAAAGATTTCTGACATTTGCTGCATTCGTGGGGTTTCTCTCCTGTATGTGCTTTCTGATGTAAAACCAGGCTAAACTTGATGGGGAAAGTTTTCCCACATTCACTACATCCATAGGGTTTCTCTCCTGTATGGATTCTTTGATGAGTAGTGAGACTAAACTTATGAGAGAAAGTCTTCCCACACTCAAGGCATTCACAAGGTTTCTCTCCCGAGTGAATTCTCTGATGGATCAGGAGATAGGACTTCTGGCTGAAGGCTTTGTGACATTCTCCACATTCATAAGGTTTCTCTCCAGTGTGAGACCACTGATGAATATTCAGGAGTGACTTTTGGCTGAAAGCCTTCTGACACTGACTGCACTCATAGGGTTTTTCCACTGTATGAGTTCTTTGGTGTAGGATGAGACTAAACTTGATGGAGAACATTTTCCCACATTCATTGCATCCATAGGGTTTTTCTCCCGTATGAGTTCTCCAGTAAGTATGGAGGAATGACTTTACACTAAAGCCTTTTCCACATTCACTGCAGTGATATGGTTTCTCTCCTGTGTGAATTCTCTGATGTCTACTGAGCTCAGATCTCTGGATGAAGGTTTTCCCACATTCATTACACCCATACGGTTTTTCCCCGGTATGGGTTTTTTTAATGTAAAATGAGGCTAAACTTAAGGGGGAATGTTTTTCCGCACTCATCACAACCATAGGGTTTATATCCTGTGTGAGCTCTCTGATGGATCATGAGCTGTGACTTATTGCTGAAGCTTTTCTGACATTTGCTGCATCCATATGGTGTCTCTCCGGTATGAGTTATTTGATGTAAAGTGAGTTTTGACTTATCACTAAAACCTTTCTGACATATACGACACTCAAAGCATTTCTCTCCTGTGTGAGTTATTTGATGTTTATTAAGGCATGACTTATCAGTAAAAGCTTTCCGACATTTATTGCACTCATAAGGTTTCTCTCCTGTATGGGTTCTCTGGTGTAAAATGAGACAGGACTTCCTGCTGAAGGCTGTCTGACACCTACTGCATCCACAGGGCTTCTCTCCTGTGTGTGTTTTTTGATGCTTAATGAGGTCCGACGTCTGGGAAAAGGCTTTCCCACAGTCACTGCAGTCATACTGTTTCTCTTGTTTTTGAGGTTTCCAGTGTTTTATGAGCTGTGACTTATGACTGAAAGCCTTTACACATTCATTATATTCATTGTATTTCTCTTCAGCATGAATTTTCTCATGCTTAGGATAAAGAAAAGCTTCATCATACCCATTACATTCATCTTCATTTCTTGCATAGCTTCTATTTTGAATAAAGTACTCTAGATTAGGATTCAGGTGTTTCCCAAGTACAAAAGGGGTATGAAGGTTTGAGCTCAGATGAGATATTATTTTGCCAAATGTATGATATTTGTGGTGCCTCTCCATAGTTTCAAGGCTGCTTTGATTTTCTTGGTGCCATTCTGTGTGATCATTGAATTGCCAGACATCTTCTAGAAAGGAGACCAATTAATCCACTTGATCATGTAATGAAAGGGGTAGATGTTCACAGCAAGGGCCAAGGAGAGAAGAGGAAGTGAAACTGGGTAGAGAATGAAAATCTGAGACATTTGTAAATGGAAGAAGAAAAAAACAGAAGAAACTATGAGAGGTATGAAACACACATAAAATGAAGATAAGGGAGGAAAATTTAGGAATACTTGAAAACAGGGCTATGACTATGGATTAGGGGGATGGAGACAGGGAAAAGCAAGTAAACTAAACATGCCAGGGAGAAAGATTAACCAGGAAAGCAAGTTCTGAGATGAGTCAGAGAGGGATTTGATCAGAGTACCTAAAAGAAGAACATGGATTCTTTTAAAAGTCAAGCAAAAGAGTTCTAATATGGAGAGATTAAAAAGTGGAGGCAGTATTAAGGTATGTGAGGAGCTTACGTCAGCTGTTCTTAGTCACATTCACAGCTTTAAGAACTTCAAAAACATTTCTCCAAACAGCATTTCAGAGGTGCCCCCCTATTTCTGTTTAACTGGGGTATTACTTCAAGTTCCCCTACAGGACTGGTTTTTCACTTACCTGGACAAACCGGACTCTGGATTTCTTCCTCTAGTATCCACGGTTTTCCTTGGTCCAACCAGAATAATGCATCTGCTTTGGCAACTTGATACCCTAGAAAAGCATCAAGGAAACTCATAAAGGACACATGAATGCAAATACTAGGGCTACGAGACTCCTGAAAAATTATGTACTTTTTTTTTTTCAGCTGGAGTCTCACTCTGTCTCTAGGCTGGAGTGAAGTGGTGTGATCTTAACTCACTGCAACCTCTGCCTCCTGGGTTCAAGTGATTCTCCTGCCTCAGCCTCCCAAGTAGCTGGGACTACAGCTGTGTGCTATGACACCCAGCTAATATTTCTATTTTTAGTACAGATGGGATTTCACCATGTTGGCCAGCATGGTCTCGATCTCTTGACCTCATGATCCGCCCCCCTTGGCCTCCCAAAGTGCTGGGATTATAGGCGTCAGTCACCACGCCCAGCCAAAGATGACATTTAAGGAGTTAAATAATTTGTATCTGGGCCAAGTAAAGGCCTTTAACGTCCTTTGGAAATGAGAGAAAAACACTCTGTTAGAGGCCAGAAAAGTACTAAAAATCTATGATGTATTAAACTGAAGTCTAAAAAAAGTAAAGTATTTGTGAGGCCTGACCCTTTTTAATTACTCAGAAAGGAAGGGCAATTGATTGCCTACACTACCCAGAAAAACTATGCTTACCCAGTGATACCAGGTTGCTATAATTTTCCAACATCACATCTTGGTACAGATTCTTCTGAACAGATGTCTTCTGTGAAACCCACAGCTACATCCTTGAATGACAGTGAGCTCTGTAATAGAACATTCCTACTCAAATTCTAAAGAATTACCATTGTGTAATGCTATTAATATAAATGATAATTTCTTATAATACATTTTCCCAGAGTAAGTTATTTGGCTGCCTTCCATGTAACTAGTTTTGCATTATAATATATAGGAAAAAATGTTTTAGTTAAAATATCCTATTTTGGTACTTCCATTCATTCACTGATTCACATATTTAATCATTCATTCACAAAAGAGAAACAGAACCTCCTTACATCCTTTAATAAAGTATTTAATCTGCAGTCCCCAACTTTTTTGGCACCACGGATTGGTTTTGTGGAAGACAATTTTTCCACATATCGGAGCAAGGGGATGGTTTTGGAATGATTCAAGTGCATTACATTAACTGTGTACTTTATTTCTATTATTATTACATTGTAATATATAATGAAATAATTATACAACTCACCATAATGTAGAATCAGTGGGAGCCCTGAGCTTGTTTTCCTGCAACTAGATGGTTCCAGCTGGGAGTGATGGGAGACAGTGACAGATCATCAGGCATTAGATTCTCATAAGGAGTGTGCAACCTAGATCCCTCGCATGTGCAGTTCATAACAGGGTTTGAGCTCCTAGAAGTATCTAATGCTGTCTCTGATCTGACAGGAAGGGGAGCTCAGACGGTTATGCACATGATAGGGATTGGCTGTAAATACAGATAAAATTTGCTCACTGGCCTGGCCCACTTCCTCACAGGCCATGGACCAGTAGCAGGGGTTGGGAACCCCTGTTCTAGAGAATCATTCAGCCTGAGGGTGAGCAAGAGACACTCAGCAAAAATTCACTCAGATTCACATTTAGATATGCCAATGCTGATACAGGAAACCATAAGAATACACAAAAATGTTTTGAGATTATTTTAAAGATGGTGAAAAAGGATTAAGGGGGAACTTTCAGGTTTTGCACTATAAACTTCTACATTGTTTGAAAGTTTGATACTATGAATATTTTCTTTTTTGAAATTCATTCAAGTTGGAGAAGTATTATAAAGATGATGATTTTGTTTAGAGACAGAGTATTGCTCTGTTACCCAGGCTGGAAGGCAGTGGCATGATCACAGCTCACTGCAGCCTTGACCTCCTAAGCTCAAGTGATCCTCCCACCTCAGCCTCCTGAGCAGCTGGAACTACAGGTGTGTGCCACCATGCCCAGCTAACTTTCGTATTTTTTTGTAGAGATGGGGTCTCACTATGTTGTCCAGCTGGTTTCAAAGTCCTGGGCTCAACTGATCTTCCCAACTCAGCCTCCTAAAGTGCTGGGATTACAAGGGTGAGCCACCACTGCCCAGCTGACATTGTGAATATTTTGAGCTTAATATAATTCTTTTTTTTTTTTTAAAAAGAAGTAGGTAAGTATTGGCTTTGAACAGAGAGCTGACACTGCATTCTCGGGTATGAAGAGATTATGAAGGAAAAATCTAAGACTCTGTCAACATAACTTGGAACTGTTTACTAATCAATGTAAATAGGAGTTTCTCTACCTCAGCACTACAGGTTGAGCATTCCTGATTCAAAATTCTGAAACCTACAATGCTCCAAATTCTGAAATTCTTTTGAGGGCTGACATGATGCACAAAGGTCACACTCAAAGACCAGGACATTTCAAATTTTGGATTTTCAGATTAGGGATGCTCGACTAGTAAGTATAATGCAAGCATTCTGAAAAAAAAAAAAATCTAAAATCTGAAACACTTCCAGTTTCAAGCATTTCTGATAAGGGATGCTCAATCTGCATTTGTTGGAGGCCAAGAAAATGGGGTCGTGACCAATTCAGTATACCACTGGAGGCTATATGAGCAAACAGAAAACTGTTCTCATGAAAGTAGGATGTTGGAAAACTGACAATTTGCATTCCATCCAGAAGGAGTGCCACGGGCAGTCATACCCCAGGCACAGTGTTCCTTGTGGTTTGTAGGCAGCCGAAAGCCCATGGGACATGATCAACTCAGAATTCCACTGGAAGCTATATGATCGAACACCAAACTGTTTTTCACGAATGCAGGATAAGAGCAAACTCATGACTGTGCCTGCCGACAGAAAGTTTGCTGGAGGCTATCACTCCCTGGCGCTGAGGTTATCTACTGCGACATCTAGAGCCTGTTGTTCATGGAATGCAGTCTTGCAAGCCTACCCTGGACCAACCAGCTGACCCCTTCTTCCACCCCACTTCTCACTATCTCTTTTGCCTAATAAATATGGAGGGCTGTGTAAAGCTCAGGGCCCTTGCCACTAGAGGCAAGGTGCTCCCTGACCCCTTCTTCCAAATATATTCTTTTATCTCTTGTCTTGTATTTCCACATTTGCCCCTCTTTGTTCAGTCCACCAGGGATTGTGGCAGGTTACATAGTGCCCTCCCGACCCTGGAACAGTGACAGAATCAGGCGCTCCACATTGGTCATCTATAGGAATATCTGAAGACTGTTGTATAAAGAAAGTAATTATGTGTACCTGTGATGAGTCAAAGCAGCTGACCAACCATTACCTCTCTCTCACTATTGATTCCACCTAATAAATATGAAGGGCTGTAGAAGCTCAGGGCTGCCTTTGCTCACTAGAAGCAAGGAGCCCTCTGACCCCTTATTTTAAGATGTATCTTTTTGTCTTTGTCTTCACTTCTACATTCGTCCCCCTTCATTCAATCATGTAGGAACAGACTGCGACATGCACTGACATTTTGGGTTGGAGAATTCTTTATTTTAAGGCCCGGTAGTGTCATCACAGGATGCCTAGCAGCATTCTTAGCCTCTATCCACTAGCTGCGATTAGCACACCCTCCTTTCCCAGGTGTGACAATCAAAAATGTCTCCAGACATTGCCAAATGTCACCTAGGGTCAAAACTGTCTGAAAATGGAAACCACTGAGAAAAAAAACAAACAAACAAACAAAAAAAACCAGAATATTGAGGACTCTTTGTGGAAGACCATACAATGGTCATAGAATCCATCCATCTTAAAAATCTCGGGCCGGGCGCGGTGGCTCACGCCTGTAATCCCAGCACTTTGGGAGGCCGAGATGGGTGGATCACGAGGTCAGGAGATCGAGACCATCCTGGCTAACACGGTGAAACCCCGTCTCTACTAAAAAAATACAAAAAACTAGCCGGGCATGGTGGCGGGCGCCTGTAGTCCCAGCTACTCGGGAGGCTGAGGCAGGAGAATGGCGTGAACCCGGGAGGTGGAGCTTGCAGTGAGCTGAGATCCGGCCACTGCACTCCAGCCTGGGCGACAGAGCGAGACTCCGTCTCAAAAAAAAAAAAAAAAAAAAATCTCTACATTTTATCCCTGAAAAAAAAAACAGACCATCAGGAGGCTGTGAACTTTGGCTACAATGTTTTGGAGCCCTGAAGCACTCTGATCACTGAATTTGGTTTTGGTATTACACCACTGGCTTCTCTGTGGAGGGCACTAACTTCTATTTGATCTATGTGATGACCCATCAAATAAATTTCTTCTTATTTAAGTGACATGAAATATTTACTTTTCTAGAGGAGCTTTATCCTCAGGAGAAGGAAACAATTTCTTACTGTGCCCATGTGGTAGACTGCATTTCCCAAAGATGACCACAATAATATCTCACATTCCAAAGAAAACCTTCTGCAAAACCTTGCCACTCCCACACAAAGAGATGGAGCCTATTCCCTTCCCCCTCGAATCTGGCTTGTCTTGGTGATTTGCTTGTACCCACAGAATGCAACAGAGGTGACACAACATAACTTCTGAGGCTAAGACAGAAAAGTGTGGGGGAAGAAAGAGAGATCAGACTGTTACTGTGTCTATGTAGAAAAAGGAAGACATAAGAAACTCCATCTTGTTCTGTACAAAGAAAAATTCTTCTGCCTTGAGATGCTGTTAATCTGTAACCCTAGTCCCAACCCTGTGCTCGCAGAGACATGAGCTGTATTGACTCAAGGTTTAATGGATTTAGGGCTGTGCAGGCTGTGCCTTGGTGAAAATGTGTTTGCAGGTAGCATGCTTGGTAAAAGTCATTGCCATTCTCCAGTCTCGAGTACCCAGGGACGCAATGCACTACAGAAGCTGCAGGGATCTCTGCCCAAGAAAGCCTGAGTATTGTCCAAGGTTTCTCCCCACTGAGACAGCTTGACATATGGCCTCATGGGAAGTGAAAGACCTGACCATCTCCCAGCCCAACACCCATAAAGGGTCTGTGCTGAGGAGGAATAGTGAAAGAGGAAGGTCTCTTTGCAGTTGAGATAAGAGGAAGGCATCTGTCTCCTGCTCATC